CACACTAATACAAGATTATAATTTGAAAAGGACTTTGCAGATATGATTAGGTTAGGGGTCTTGAGATGGGGAGATTATCCCAGATAGTCTGGATGGGCCCAGTGCAATCTCAGTGGTCCTCATAAGAGGGATGCAGGAGGTTCACAGTCAGAAGGCAATGTGATGACAGAAACAAGAGATTGGAGTGATGGGATGAATGTAGGCAGGCTCTAAAAGTTGAAAAAGATAGGGAAGGAGATTCTTCTCTGAAGCCTCCAGAAAGAACACAGCCCTGCTAACACCTTGATTTTAGACTCTGACTCCAGGACTGCAAGAGAATACGTTTGTATTGGTTTAAACCACTAAGTTTGTAGTAATTTGTTAATAGCAGCAATAGGAAACTAATACAATTTCTTTGCTTCATTCTCTCTACTAAGCTGGAGTTTTCCCATCTTAAAATTAATTTCTCAACCTCACTTCCCTTTCAACTGCTTCCCTCCCATTTTAGTCCTTCCTTATTACAACATAAGTCCTTGAAAACCTTGTCTCCATTTACTGTCTCCCAGTTTCTCTTCTCCTATCTTCCCTGGAATCTATGCCTGTTTGACTTTCTCCTCCCGCTGCTACCCTAGGAAAATGGCTATTGTCGAGGTCACCAATAAACCTCCAGGTGGTTAAATCCACTGATTGATTCTCAGCCCTTCTCGAATTTGACCTCCTTTCAGACCTCATTAATTTGTCAAGGAAGCATCAGAAGGCCGTCATGCCAAGAAAAACATAAACTATAGAGGTTCTAGCCATGGAATATTCGAGTTGGAAAAGATCTTGGTGGCAAATGTGCAGTGAACTTCCACCCCAGGAGAGGCCCCAAGCCCACTTTAGAATAGGAAATGTGCCGTGGAAGGTTTGTTGAGCAAGTGTTTTGCTCCATCATCGTCAGCCACAATGAATACCTTTTTCTTCAGAAATCCGTGGGCACCCCCACAGTACCTCCTCACCTTCAGAACGCGTGTTCTCGATGCCCCTGCCTCGGAAGGCCCCTCTCAATACTCCTGGCACCCCCGTCCTTGAAGACTTTCCCCAGAATGACGACGAAAAGGAGCGACTGCAGCGGAGGCGCTCCCGAGTCCTGGACCTGCAGTTCAGTGCAGACTCGCCTCATTTGCTAGCCTCCCCATCGAGCAGGTGAGTGCATTCGGGGCTGCCTCCATTGGGTGGCTGTTCTGACATGGGTTACGTGGGTCTGGCATCTCCACAATACCATGTGGGATTCTGGATCCAGATTTTGAAAAGTTAGGGTATCATGGATCCTTGCCAGAGTTTTTTGTTTTTGTTTTTCGTGTAGGAATATTGACGTTTCAGCCACGATTCCTAAATTTACAAATACACAGATTACAGAACATTACTCCACCTGTATCAAACTATCCACTGAAAATGTGAGTATCTGGGGCGCCTGCGTGGCTTAGTTGGTTGAGTGTCCGGCTCTTGGTTTCGGCTCAGGTCATGATCTTGCTGGTTCATGAATTCGAGCCCCATGTCAGACTCTGCTCTGGCAGCACGGAGCCTGCTTGGGATTCTCCCTCCCTCTCCCTCTCTCTCTCTCTCTCTCTCTCTCTCTCTCTCTCTCTCTCTGCCCCTCCCCCCCTTGTGCTGTCTCTTTGTCAAAATAAATTTTTAAAAAAGTATTAAAAAAAAAGAAAAATGTGAGTATCTGCTGGATTATCAGTGAAGATACTGCAACTTGATCACAAGGGAAATCTATCCTTGATTCTGTGGAGAACACGCAATTGATGATAATTACGTGCTTTCATTGTCCAGCGACTCTTCTTAATGCTAATATTTTTCTGTATGCTTTTACTGTTTCTTATGGGCCTTTTATGCTCTTTTTGATAAGGTTGCCTGCCACCTGCAGCGTATCTAGAGAGGCAGCATTGCTTAGGGGTTAATAGTGTGAGTTCTAGAGCTAGCCTCTGTTGGAATCCAGCCCCTGCCATTCACAAACTGTATAGTATCGGCAAGTCGCCTAAGCACTCTGCTGCATTGTCCGCTGTAAAATGAGAATGTGACTAGTACCTGCCTCCTAGAGTTGTTCTGAGGGTGACCGAGTCCCTTCGTGTGCAGTGCTTAGAACAGGGTCTGCGTACAGTGAAAACTCAGGAAGTGTGCTGTCACCCTCTGGGCCTTGAGAATGGGGAGATACGTGTATGGATTTAGCCCTGTCATCAAGTGTTTGTGGGAATTGATACCTGTGGTGAGATGTGGGCTGTTACTTTGTAAAAGCGTAGCTTCCTCTATTAGGGTAGCATTATTTACATGAGCCTAGGCTATAAATAACAAACCTTTCTACGTTTTTCTGTTTTCAGAAAATTACTACCAAGAATGCTTTTGGTTTGCACTTGATTGATTTCATGTCAGAGATTCTTAAACAGAAAGACACCGAACCGACCAACTTTAAAGTAAGAAGGATGTTCACCTTCTCTTGGATGTGAATTAATGATGATTATTTCTGATATTTAGCACAACCCTGTACTTGAATTCTGCAAATACATGAGAACCTTCCTTGTATAAGACATTTTATTAGCTTCTTTACTTTCTTTCCTAAACTGATGAAATAGAGATCTCTTTCTGTTATATTTTGTTTATTCCCTGTCAGTCTTAGGGGAATCTTTGTCATTTTTTCTTAAGAGCAAGTAAATATTTTACAAAGCTTGCTGTGTTTTTGCTTGTTCAGCAGTTCCTTTTTATGCCTCCAGTGAGTATAGCTCTGCTTGTTTGACTAGGTGGCCGCTGGCACTCTGGATGCCAGCACCAAGATCTACGCTGTGCGGGTGGACGCTGTCCATGCCGATGTATACAGAGTCCTCGGGGGGCTGGGCAAAGATGCGCCATCTCCAGAGGTAGAGAACCATGATGCAGGTATGTGGGTTCGGATCTGGATTTAAGGGGCTTTCTTAAGGATGTAGCAGGTAGTGATTTGAGTAATATGTTGGAATGAAGTCGTAGGAAATCAATAATCTCATTCGACTGAAGACATGAACATTTTCAGAATTGTATATGAGAAGATCGTTAAGCCCTAGAGTTATTTTTCTTCAAAAAAGAGAAGAACCTTATTAAAACTTTTGGCTTTTATTTAGGCAAGATTGAGTAAACATCACCAAGTGGGGGAGCTTCTGATTTGGGGGGGGCTTTAGAAATTGGCTTGTATTAGAAGCCAAATACTTAAGGTTTCTCCCGAAGCTGTGGATTAGTTTTTGAGAGAGAGGCAGAGCATGAGCAGAGGAGGGGTAGAGAGAGAGGGAGACAGAATTTGAAGCGGGCTTCAGGCTCTGAGCTGTCAGCATGGAGCCTGACATGGGACTCAAACTCACGAGCCACGAGATCATGACCTGAGCCCAAGTCAGACGCTTAACTGACTGAACCACCCAGGCGTCCCTGAAGCTGCGGATTAGATGAGCCTGTTGCTTTGAGAGAATGGCACATTCCAATTATGATTGCTCTTTAGAGGTTTGAAGAACATGAGTTAATTAGTTAAGTTACGTGCTCCAGAGCAATCCTTGCAGTACCTAGTCTTATTTCTTCTTTCAGATGGAAGTGCTACTGAGACAGGAACTACCAAAAAGGCTCAAAAGCCAAAGAAGAAGCACTCCTGCAAAACCATCGAACAGAATATAAGCAACCTCAATGTCTCTGAAGCAGATCGGAAGTGTGAGGTGAGGAACTGTGTGCAGTGTGGTCTCTGACTAATTCAGAGCCTCAGTGGCTGAAACTCGGCAGAGCCAAGCCTGCCCGGTATGCGTTTGCTTAGGCCTCAAGGGAGTAAAACATATAAGTGGCATCTGCATTATCATCCCTTAGCTTTATAGTGAAGACTGACAGGTATAAGTCCCTGCTTTCCCCACAATACTTCAGAATGATTGAGTCGAAAGAGATGGCAAATTACCAAGGACTCTAATTGACCATACCATTAATTTTCTTTCCTAGTACATGCAGCAAAGATAATGATGGCTAACTTTTAGTGTGCATTTACTGGGCACCCTGTACTGCCCAAAGCCTGTGAGCTGAGCTGTGTTACCTCGCTTGAGGTACAGGGCGTTAAGTAACTTGCCCAAAATGATACAGCTAGTAAGCAAGCTGGGATTTGAAACTAAGTGGCCTCGCTCCAGAGTCCTTGCTGTAAACAGCCTTACGATCTGGCAAATCCTAAGGAATCTGCTTAAAGGCAGCCAGAGGCTTCATTTATCTTTAGCATAGTTAATTTAAAGCAAAGGTGTTGATACAAGCTTTTTTAAAATTTTGCTATTAAAAACAGTATCTCCGTGAACATCCTTGTACATATTTGTGCTCTTCTGAGGATGTATCTGTAAGAAAATTCTGAGTCATAGAATTTCCATTGGGTTGTACCAATCTACTATGCCACCAACAGTGGACTAGATTACATTCTCCTACTTCCATGACATTTGTAAATGGCAGTTAAGGTCAAGAGACTGGAATTGATCACCAGAATGAGCATATGTAGAAAAAGGACTGAGCCCTGGGATACCCCAATCTTAAGAATTCAAAGAGCCAAAGAAGAAACATTCAGTAGGTAGGAGGAAGACCAGGAGGGTGTGACACCCAAATGAGAAGGTGTCAGGGAGGAGGGAGTGATCAGCTCTACCAAAGTGGCAACCTGGGGCCACTGGTATTCTTGGAGAAGGAAGGGCCTATGGAGCTGAAACTCAGACCAAGGAAGGGGTGCTGCTTGGCTCAGTGTCCCTGAGTTTGGAAGAGGGGCTTGTGGGACCCAGGACCCAGACCTCTGAGGAAGGCATTCTGGTTGGTGCTGGTGTCTGTGAGGGGCACACAGTGAGGCTGGTTCTGTGAGTGTGAGTAAAAGTGCAAATTGAACTCAGCTAGTGCATCTGGGGCGAAGAAGTCCTGCTGGGTGACAGCAATAGGAAGCCTACAGAAAGAAGCAAGTCCCTTCTTGTAGCCTTGCAAGCTCCCTCTAGTGTCCCCTACTGGTGGAGCCGAACAGGGAGCTGCTGGCAAAGCCCAAATGTGGTCCTAGAGCTAGCATCACAGAGCGGACAATACAAAGTTGGTTTGGGTCTGAGAAGCAATACCTTAATAACTGGCAGAGAGGTAAAGTGTCACAATATCTACTTCCGAAAAGGTTCGGTGGGAGTGGCAAGGAGAGAAAGCAGATATGCAAAATGTTACCCAATGGGGAATCTACATAAAAGTTACACAGAGGTTCTTATTACTATTTCAACATTCTTGTAGGCTTGAAATTTTTCTTAATAAATGGGGGCAAACAAATGGCAAGAGAGGAATGAAGACACTATAAGCTGTTCTTTTGAAGAGTTTTGCTATAATTTGGAACAGAGTAATGGGTGGCAAGTGGAGAAGAAAGTAAGGTCTAGAGGGTTTTCTTGGTTTTTGCTTTTTTTAATGGGAGAATTAACAGCATGTTTACTTGTTGATGGGAACAGTCTAGTGGAGAATGGAGGAGACTTGCTCAAGTAGAGTCTTTGAGCTCATGAGAAGGGAAGGGAATGGACAGTGTCGACAGAATTTGGCTAAGGAGCACCCATGGCTGGTGAGAGATGGCATGCAAGTGTGCACGTGTGGGAGCATTCCAGGTAGTCCCTTCTGGTTGTGTCCCACCAGCACCCGCCCACCCCCCCCCACCCCCATTGAAAATAGGAAGCCAGACCATCAACTGACTGTGTGGAAGAGGAAAGGTAAAGGTTTGAGGAGAGAAAAAGGTAGGAGGGTGGGTGAGCAAGTGGACCGGGGAAGTAGAGTTTGCTTGCCAGACAATACTCATGGTTGACTTGAAGGCCGTGGCAGATGGATATAAAGTAAGTTCAGTCAATGTGACTTTGTGTGTTTCTCCGACAGTGGTTAGCTGTGTGGGTGCGAGCGTGAAGCGGGCAGAAAGCTGGATTTAATACAGGATTGTGTTCAGCTGAACCAGTGTGACACAGCTAGAAAGGAGCACTGGAGTGAAGATCATGTGTGAGGGGGTGGTTACGATCGGTGTTTATGGAACTTTGGTGGGGAAAAGAGGGACAGCATAAAGCCGTATGATCAGTGGTTGTAGGGCCTGGTGGGTCAAAGACTTCTTGGTGTTAGAGACAAGAAGGTGGTGGCTGGAAAGATGTGAGGTGACTGTCAGGGGCACTTAGAGTTGAGCAACAGAGAGGCTGCAGTCATGGTTAGGATTCAATTCAGAGAAGAAGAAAGGGAGTAAAAGACAGGAGGTGTGGGGTTCATGCTGGGATCTCTGGAAGTCCTGGGATTTTCAGGATGAAGCTCAAGACCATTGAAGGAGAGGATATCAAGGAACTGAGAGGCCAGAGTGCTGGATGGATGGATAGATGGATATTGAAACCACCAAAAACGATGACAGCAGTAAAATTGGAGAATAGTAATGAGCCAAGAGTGCATATTAAGATCTCCCAAGAATTGGGTAGACCTGGAGATTAGAAGGCGATTGAAAAACATATGGGCATGGGGCGCCTGGGTGGCGCAGTCGGTTAAGCGTCCGACTTCAGCCAGGTCAGGATCTCGCGGTCCGTGAGTTCGAGCCCCGCGTCGGGCTCTGGGCTGATGGCTCAGAGCCTGGAGCCTGTTTCCGTTTCTGTGTCTCCCTCTCTCTCTGCCCCTCACCTGTTCATGCTCTCTCTCTGTCCCAAAAATAAATAAACATTGAAAAACATATGGGCAGAGGGTGGTGAGGTCTGACCTTATATTATGTTCAAAGCTGAGGGTTTTAGGACTTGGGAAGGAGAGTAATCTGGAAGCAGCGATGAGGAACAAGGAACTTCACCTATCCCACATCTAGGCCAGCGGTCGGTTGGAGAGCTGCGGAAGAGGAAGCAGCCGCACTGGTGAGCCTGCAGGGAAGCAGTGTCCTTGGGCAGACAGCAGGTTTCATTAGAGCAGTGCCCCTCAGCGTTTTGTCATTCTCTTCCTCCTCCAGAGCCTTTTAAAAAAAATTTTTTTTTTTTCAAACGTTTATTTATTTTTGGGACAGAGAGAGACAGAGCATGAACGGGGGAGGGGCAGAGAGAGAGGGAGACACAGAATCGGAAACAGGCTCCAGGCTCTGAGCCATCAGCCCAGAGCCCGACGCGGGGCTCGAACTCACGGACCGCGAGATCGTGACCTGGCTGAAGTAGGACGCTTAACCGACTGCGCCACCCAGGCGCCCCCCAGAGCCTTTTTAGATATTGTCTTCCTACCCCCTGCCCTGAAATGAATTATAAAGGAATAAGATTTTGTCAGGTAAGTTTGAGGCTTAGAACCACAAGTTATTATAACTTCTGAGATTTTTTTTCACCCTCTCCCAGAACCAGTTTTCACTTCCTTTAGAATGATATCACCCCCATTGAAAATGAATGAGTTACAGCTGGTAGGTGAAGAAAGAAGTGGGGGAATATAGGGAATTTCGGTGATGACTGACCGAGTCTAGAGGGCCCTGGCAGAAATTATCAATTGTTAAGAGAGGAGGGTGGGGCCCAAAAAGGGGATGTCAGAGCTGTATAGGGTTTAGAGCCTGGGAAATGTAGAATCCTGGGGGGTCCTGGGTCTTTTATACGTAACTAATAAATAAACTAAATAGAGGGTAATAATGAAATTAGTCCTGGTGGCCTCATGGCAGATGGTAGTGGTAGAGGCTGAGCATGCAGGGGGCTAGGAGAGAGGAGCCTTGCCAGTCTTATTCTGAGTGGTGGGGCAGTTCTTCTCTGGACTTGCCTGGAGGCTCTAGCCTGTGCTAGTGTGAGGACTGTGTGTGAATTGGCAGGATGGGGCCTGAGGAAGGTGGATCCACTGAGGCCAAGGCCAAAGAGGGAGGGGGAAAAACAAGGGTGGTGGGTGCTTTGGGGAGAGAGAGTTGTATTTATCGATGTGTCAGCATTGACCTTGGGTAGTGCCAGATTTCTAGGCAGGTGATGTAAAGTTCAGATCCTAGTTCCACTGTCTTAGCTGTGTGGTTTGGGAAAAGACTCTGAATCTCATTTTGTTAAATTGTGAGAACAGGTGACATTAGTCCCATCCACATATGGGTTTTGTGGTAGTGAATCTGTTCCTAGCAAACTGCTTTTTATCCGTAGTGGTATGTTGCATACATCTGAAGAGAAGCCATATAATTCTTTCCCACCTTCCTGTCCCCTCCCCAGTTCTCCATTTTCCCCCTTCTTACATCCAACTTCAGCTCTTACAGAAAATTCTGTTGCCAATCATCTTTTTTCTGACCAGGTAGACCCAGTTCCAGGGAGCCCGAGGAAGCTTGCACTAACTACCCTTTCCCGTTGTTCTAAAGAGAGAATGAGAGAGCAAGCAGTGCTGCTCCCTCTAAGCCTGTGGTGGTCAGCTACATCTAGGCCAAGTGAAATCATTCGTCTTTCGTTGTTGGGGTTTTTTTTTTTTTTTTTTTTAAAGTTTATTTATTTTGAGGGTGGGGACAGGCAAAGAGAGGAGAGAGAAAGAATGTGAAGCTGGTTCTGTGCTGAGAGGAGAGAGCCCAATGCGGGGCTCGAACTCACAAACTGGGATTATGACCCAGGCTGAGTTGGATGACTAACCGACTGAGCCACTCAGGAGCCCCATCATTAGTCTTGAAGAAACACCAAGTACCCCATCCTAGAAAGTATTTTTTTGCTCTGTAATCTGCCGTAATGGCCCAAAGCCCAATTTGGAAGATAAACAAGAGGGAGAGGTTGTCACAAACCTAAAATTTGAAGTTTCAACTGTTTCTTGAACCCACATTCTCTTGGAGATGGCATGGAGATGAGAAAGCAAATGTTCTGTGGGTGTGTCTAGACCAGTTGAGAACTCTTATTTGTGTATGAGCTGATCTGTTTTGGACACAGCTCTCTGTGTGCAAAATGTTTGCTGTCATGAGAGATTCCAACCTGATTATGCTCCAGTTCTTTAAACCAGGAGAGCACAAATAGATACAATGAAAGGAAGTTCAAGGCACATAGTATAGGAAATCAGAGTGGGTGGAGGTCAGAATTGATGGAAGAGGTGAAATTTGAAACTGGGCCTTAAAGGAAAGGTAGGTATTTTCAGATGGAGATTGCCAGGAAGGTGATTCTAGGCAGCTAGGCAGCTGGGTGGTTTATAAGTTTGTCTGGAGCCAAACTAGAGTTTGTCTAGTATTTACTCACACAGCTGAAACCACCTAGGCTTTACCATGCAGTTTGTTGTCTACCAAGGTCTCTTTTTACTCTCTCTTTTCCTTGCTGTGGACCCTTGTTTCAAAAGGTTGATCTACCCAAGGTACCTGGCTATCTCAGTCTTTAGAGCATGTGACTCTTGATCTTGGGGCTGTGAGTTTCGGCCCCATGGTGGATGTAGGGATTACTTAAAAAATAAATAAATACATAAATAAAAGACAAAAGCTTTATCCAAACTATGCAGTTAGCAATAATTCATTTTCCCATCAAATTACTCAAAGATGTTAGTCAAGACCATTGTTCTTACACTAGCATGATGTAATTCTAGACAAAAGTGAGGAAAACTAGTGTTTTTCAGTTTTATTTTAGCATTTACAGTTTCTGCATTGACTCTTTGAAATGCTGAGTTTCATTAACTACCCACACAGGACCTCAAAGGGTGTGGGGCTCCAGGTGGGAAGCCAATGGTCTGGGTAGCATCTTAGGAAGGGAATGGGAATAGCAACACTAGTATTTTTGGAATGGGAAATGAGAAAGACCAGAGGCAAGGGTTAACTTAGGCGTGGGTTGTATTGGTGGCAATAGGGGTGAAGAAGGAAGGGATAGATGGTAGAGATGTGCGGGGAGGAAAACTTGCCAGGCTGTGTGACTGGGTGAGCGGTAGGGAGACAGGAAGAACGTGGAGGTGATATATGTGATACTCGGGCTAGGAGGATGGTGAGACAGGTTTATTGGGAAGGCGAGAGGAGAGTCTTGGTTCTGGTGGGGCCAGGCTCAGAGCTAAGGGGGCCAGGAAAGAGCCAGAGAGCCACATCTGTCATCCCACCTGAGGCCTCTTCTCTCCGTAGTAGCTACACCCTGAGACATAAAACCTGTGAATCCAGTACCCAACCTGTTTCCTGTCGCAGGGCCACCTGTACAATCAGGTGACTTCTAACCTCTTGCCACACGTGCGTGTGCCTTGCTCTGTCCTTGTTCTCGTGCTCTGTGCCCTGTTCTGCCTTTGGGACTGGTGTCATGTGGCCGTGCCACTCCTACTCCTTATCTCAACCTTGGGAGCCTTCTTACAGCCTCTTCCATGTTTTACCCATCCATCTAGTCCTGCTGACTCTGCCTGTCTTTCCCCTCAGTCTCTTTGTGTGTTCCTTCAAATCTGTGAAAATATTTCTGTTCAGAGTAATAATGGGATCTTGTGAACAGATCCCTCATATAGGTTTTCTAAGTCCACAGAATTTGTTGTGATAGCATTCTACTAGAGACAGCTATTTGAAAACAGTGACTTATGGAAAGAGACCAGCAGAGGGATACTGTCTGTGTAGATTATAAACAGATTGACACAGTAGAAGCTTGTTCCCATTTACCGTGTACTTGAGCACTATGCATTTATTCATCTGACCACACACAGGCTTCCTTTTCAATTGGTATCTGCTAGGATGAGATTCTACCTATCAGAAAGCCCTCGACCTGTTTGGATCATGTGCAGAGATACTTCAATCCAGCATATGCAGTTGTGTATAAGTAGGGTCCAGTGAATGAGATTTTATATTTGCTTTGGCTGCATTCCATAATTCTTCGGTTCCCTCTGTTTTTACATTCAGATTGATCCCATGTTTCAGAAGACAGCAGCCTCATTCGATGAGTGCAGCACAGCGGGGGTATTTCTCTCGACCCTTCACTGCCATGACTACAGAAGTGAGCTGCTGTTTCCTTCCGATGTCCAGACTCTCTCCACTGAAGAACCCCTGGAGTTGCCAGATTTAGGTTGGGTAGAAATGACAGATTTAAAGGGTGAGTACACATAGTGCGTCTCACCAGAGCATTTCAGTCATCAGAAAAGTTTCCGTACAGCCCTGGAGTGTAATAAGCCTGTCATTATGTTGCTTGGTTAAATTACCAGAAGGTGCCTCTGGAATGCCAAATTGGGCATCCTTTTGGGAGAAACTAACTTCTCTTCCTCTCTGCAGCATGGAGTCTAAGAGTAGTAAGTAGCTGATGCCCACCTGGTCTATATGTGTCGCATCCCTCGTGTGCCCCTGTCAGCAGCCAGCTTGCACAGTCACGTTTTAGAGCCCTGGGCTAAGCCTGGCCTGTCACAGTTTGGACTTGGGAAAGGAGCTTTAAAATAGGCTTTTGGTGAGCCAGGGAGGCCTTGTTCTTTTGTTACCAATTTAGGGGGTCCTGAGGAGAAGAGGGCATTGTGAATTATTTTCAGACTCCACTGTGGTGGTCTGAGAATGGACCTGTCCTTTTGTTAACTCCTTATACTGGCTTGGAAAGGGTTTTATCCCCCCTCCCATCCTACCGTCCATACCTCTCTGAATCATCTGAGAAATTGTGACAGCCGTGAGTGGGGGGATGGCAGGTGCGGGAATGTGGTAGCTACACTTGTGTGCAGTCTTTTTTATGTGTTGCATGAAATTGGTCCTCCCCCCCACCCCCCTGCCCCCAGGGCCACACAGATGTTACGGTGCCCATTTTCATCCTTTCTATTCTTGTATAAAGTTTTTTTTTCTTTTTTTTGTTTTTTGCTTTGAGAGAGAGTGCACACGTGCACATGTGTGAGCAGGGGAGGGGCAGAGGGAGAGAAACTTAAGCAGGCTGCGCGCCCAGCATGGAGCCTGATGCAGGGCTTGATCTCATGAACTGTGAGATCATGACCTGAGCCAAAATCAAGAGTCAGACACTTAACCGACTGAGCCACCCAGGCGCCCCGATTCTCATCTAAAGTTTTCTAAGTACAGCTGTTTTGTGCTCATGATCTATTTCCAAGTTTATGCTCCCAACTGGGACTTTAATCTTGTGAGGTAACTAGTTTAGTTTGGGACTAAAATAAGTAGCATTGCATGATTGGTTGTGCAGTTAGTACACTTTTTTTTTTTTTTT